TTTACTGCAGTACTCTACAGTACAGAGTACTTTTACTGCAGTACTCTACAGTACAGAGTACTTTTACTGCAGTACTCTACAGTACAGAGTACTTTTACTGCAGTACTCTACAGTACAGAGTACTTTTACTGCAGTACTCTACAGTACAGAGTACTTTTACTGAGGTTCTTGCTGCTCGTTCAGATTTGGTTCAAATGTCAAACTTCCACAAAACTGATTTAAGTTGAGGGTTCGATTTCCAGGGAGCAGCAGCTAAATCTGTTCATTTATAAGAAAAATGAATTTATACAAAGTCCCTGAAAAATAAAGAAAGAAACACAAACAAAGAAACAAACAAACAAAAAGAAACAAACAAACAAAAAGAAACAAACAAACAAAAAGAAACACAGCACAAACAAATGGCTTTTATCAGTCTCATTTATTTGAGACAGCGGCAGGCGGCAGGAGCACCGACAGGAGCACCGACAGGAGCACCGACAGGAGCACCGACAGGAGTACAGACAGGAGCACCGACAGGAGCACCGACAGGAGCACCGACAGGAGCACCGACAGGAGCACCGACAGGAGCACCGACAGGAGTACAGACAGGAGTACAGACAGGAGCACCGACAGGAGCACCGACAGGAGCACAGACAGGAGCACCGACAGGAGCACCGACAGGAGCACCGACAGGAGCACCGACAGGAGCACCGACAGGAGTACCGACAGGAGCACCGACAGGAGCACCGACAGGAGCACAGACAGGAGCACCGACAGGAGCACCGACAGGAGCACCGACAGTCTGATTTATCTGAGCTACAACAGCTGAGTGACTTTTGTTGAATTCTTCACAGGTTCCTGAAAACTCAAGAAAATCTTGTGATGTAAAATGTGACATGTTCATGTCGGTGTGACATGTTCGTGACATGTTCATGTCGGTGTGACATGTTCATGTCGGTGTGTGACATGTTCATGTGGATGTGACATGTTCATGTGGTGTGACATGTTCATGTTGGTGTGACATGTTCATGTTGGTGTGACATGTTCATGTTGGCATGTTCATGACATGTTCATGTGGATGTGACATGTTCATGTGGATGTGACATGTTCATGTTGGTGTGACATGTTCATGTGGTGTGACATGTTCATGTGGATGTGACATGTTCATGTTGGTGTGACATGTTCATGTGGATGTGACATGTTCATGTGGATGTGACATGTTCATGTGGATGTGACATGTTCATGTGGATGTGACATGTTCATGTGGTGTGACATGTGGTGTGACATGTTCATGTGGATGTGACATGTTCATGTGGATGTGACATGTTCATGTGGATGTGACATGTTCATGTCGGTGTGACATGTTCATGTGGATGTGACATGTTCATGTCGGTGACATGTTCATGTTGGTGTGACATGTTCATGTGGTGTGACATGTTCATGTCGGTGTGACATGTTCATGTTGTGTGACATGTTCATGTGGATGTGACATGTTCATGTCGGTGTGACATGTTCATGTCGGTGTGACATGTTCATGTCGGTGTGACATGTTCATGTGGATGTGACATGTTCATGTCGGTGTGACATGTTCATGTCGGTCGTGACATGTTCATGTCGGTGTGACATGTTCATGTCGGTGTGTGACATGTTCATGTTGATGTGACATGTTCATGTTGGTGTGTGACATGTTCATGTTGATGTGACATGTTCATGTTGATGTGACATGTTCATGTGGATGTGACATGTTCATGTGGATGTGACATGTTCATGTTGGTATGTGACATGTTCATGACATGTTCATGTTGGTGTGACATGTTCATGTGGATGTGACATGTTCATGTTGGTGTGACATGTTCATGTCGATGTGACATGTTCATGTCGTGACATGTTCATGTGGATGTGACATGTTCATGTGGTGTGACATGTTCATGTCGGTGTGACATGTTCATGTCGGTGTGACAATGTTCACATGTTCATGTCGGATGTGACATGTTCATGTCGGTGTGTCATGTGTGACATGTTCATGTTGATGTGACATGTTCATGTTGGTGTGACATGTTCATGACATGTTCATGTTCATGTTGTGACATGTTCATGTGGGTGTGACATGTTCATGTCGGTGTGACATGTTCATGTCGATGTGTGACATGTTCATGTCGGTGTGACATGTTCATGTCGTTGTGTGTTCATGACATGTTCATGTTCATGTCGGTGTGACATGTTCATGTGGTGTGACATGTTCATGTGGTGTGACATGTTCATGTGTGTGACATGTTCATGTCGGTGTTGACATGTTCATGTTGTGACATGTCATGTTTGTGTGACATGTTCATGACATGTTCATGTTGGTGTGACATGTTCATGTGGATGTGACATGTTCATGTTGGTGTGACATGTTCATGTCGGTGTGACATGTTCATGTCGTGTGACATGTTCATGTTGATGTGACATGTTCATGTTGTGTGACATGTTCATGTTGGTGTGACATGTTCATGTTGATGTGACATGTTCATGTTGATGTGTGACATGTTCATGTTGATGTGACATGTTCATGTTGGTGTGACATGTTCATGTTCATGTTCATGGTGACATGTTCACATGTTCATGTGGATGTGACATGTTCATGTGTGGTGTGACATGTTCATGTCGGTGTGACATGTTCATGTCGGTGTGACATGTTCATGTCGGTGTGACATGTTCATGTGTGATGTTCATGTCGGACATGTTCATGTCGGTGTGACATGTTATGTACATGTTCATGTCGGTGTGACATGTTCATGTTGGTGTGACATGTTCATGTTCATGTGTGTGACATGTTCATGTTGATGTGACATGTTCATGTTGGTGTGTGACATGTGTGACATGTTCATGTTGGTGTGACATGTTCATGTGGACATGTTCATGTGGATGTGACATGTTCATGTTCATGTTGGGTGTGACATGTCATGTCAGGGTGTGTGACATGTTCATGTCGTTGGTGACATGTTCATGTGGATGTGACATGTTCATGTCGGTGTGACATGTTCATGTCGTGTGTGACATGTTCATGTCGTGTGGTGTGACATGTTCATGTGGATGTGACATGTTCATGTCGGTGTGATGTTGTTGGTGTGACATGTTCATGTCGGTGTGACATGTTCATGTCATGTTTCATGTGTGTGACATGTTCATGTTGGTGTGTGACATGTTCATGTCGGTGTGACATGTTCATGTCGGTGTGACATGTTCATGTTGGACATGTGACATGTCATGTTCATGTTGGTGTGACATGTTCATGTCGGTGTGACATGTTCATGTCGGTGTGACATGTTACATGTTCATGTCGGTGTGAACATGTTCATGTGGTGTGACATGTTCATGTCATGGTGTGTGTGACATGTTCATGTTGGTGTGACATGTTCATGTGATGTTGATGTGATGTCATGTTCATGTTCATGTGTGTGACATGTTCATGTTGATGTGACATGTTCATGTTGGTGTGACATGTTCATGTTGACATGTTCATGTTCATGTTCATGTCGGTGTGACATGTTCATGTTGATGTGACATGTTCATGTCGGTGTGACATGTTCATGTTGGTGTGTGACATGTTCATGTTGATGTGACATTTCATGTTGGTGTGTGACATGTCATGTGATGTGACATGTTCATTTGGTGTGTGACATGTTCATGTGGATGTGACATGTTCATGTTGGTGTGACATGTTCATGTTGATGTGACATGTTCATGTTGGTGTGTGACATGTTCATGTTGATGTGACATGTTCATGTTGGTGTGACATGTTCATGTGGATGTGACATGTTCATGTTGGTGTGCACATGTTCATGTCGGTGTCACATGTTCATGTCGGTGTGACATGTTCATGTTGGTGTCACATGTTCATGTTGGTGTGACATGTTCATGTCCTGTTGATCATGTTCATGTGACATGTTCATGTGGATGTGACATGTTCATGTCGGTGTTCATGTCATGTTCATGTCGGTGTGACATGTTCATGTTTGGTTTATGTGTTCATGACATGTTCATGTTGGTGTGACATGTTCATGTTGGTGTCACATGTTCATGTTGGTGTGACATGTTCATGTCGGTGTGACATGTTCATGTTGGTGTGTGTTCATGTGGATGTGACATGTTCATGTGGATGTGACATGTTCATGTTGGTGTGACATGTTCATGTTGGTGTGACATGTTCATGTTGATGTGACATGTTCATGTTGGTGTGTACATGTTCATGTTGATGTGACATGTTCATGTTGGTGTGACATGTTCATGTTGGTGTGTGACATGTGTTCATGTCATGTTCATGTCATGTGTGTGAATGTTCATGTTTGTGTGATGTCAAATGTGACATGTTCATGTTGTGACATGTTCATGTTGATGTGACATGTTCATGTTTGTACATGTTCATGTGTGTGACATGTTCATGTTGGTGTGTGACATGTTCATGTGGATGTGACATGTTCATGTTGGTGTGTGACATGTTCATGTTGTGTGCATTTCATGTTGGTGTGTGACATGTTTCATGTTGATGTGTTCATGTGGTGTGACATGTTCATGTGATGACATTTCATGTTGTGTGACATATCATGTGACATGTTCATGTCGGGTGACATGTTCATGTTGGTGTCACATGTTCATGTGTGACATGTTCATGTGGTGTGACATGTTTCATGTCATGTGGATGTGACATGTTCATGTCGGGATGTGACATGTTCATGTGGATGTGACATGTTCATGTGGATGTGACATGTTCATGTGGTGTGACATGTTCATGTTGGTGTCACATGTTCATGTTGGTGTGACATGTTCATGTCGGTGTGACATGTTCATGTTGGTGTGACATGTTCATGTGGATGTGACATGTTCATGTGGATGTGACATGTTCATGTGGATGTTACATGTTCATGTGACATGTTTCATGTCGTGTGACATGTTCATGTGGTGTGACATGTTCATGTTTGTGTGACATGTTCATGTCGGTGTGACATGTTCATGTCGGTGTGACATGTTCATGTCGGTGTGACATGTTCATGTCGGTGTGACATGTTCATGTGACTCGGTGAGGTTCAATTTGGTGTTTTTGGTCAGATTTTGTTCAAATCAAACTCAGATTAAAGTTTGACTTGAGTCACAGTTTCAGACAGAGCAGTGCCTACAGTTAGCATCACAACCTGGGAAACGACGATGACCTGAGCTGCAAAGGATCAAACTGAAGAAATGTTTAGTCTGTCAAGTCTAGTCCCAATATTTAAGTGTGTGAAATGAAGTCCTCAGAACGTCCAGGTCTTTAACTCCTTTGTTTAATTCTTCGCGGCTTCTCGTGGCTCCTCGCGGCTCCTCGTGGCTCCTCGCGGCTCCTCGCGGTTCACATCAGCGGCTCCTCGCGGCTCCTCGTGGCTCCTCGCGGCTCCTCGCGGCTCCTCGCGGTTCACATCAGCGACAGCTCCAGACCAGACGGGCGAGGGGAGGGCGGGGCACAGCCGGGGGTCAAAGGGCAAACGGAGGTGGCGGTCTCTATGTGGGAGCTGACGGTGGACACGGACCAAACCTCACTCAGCTCTGTGACACACAGTGTGAACAGGTTCAGTTTGTCTGTGACACACAGTGTGAACAGGTTCAGTTTGTCTGTGACACACAGTGTGAACAGGTTCAGTTTGTCTGTGACACACAGTGTGAACAGGTTCAGTTTGTCTGTGACACACAGTGTGAACAGGTTCAGTTTGTCTGTGACACACAGTGTGAACAGGTTCAGCTCTGTGACACACAGTGTGAACAGGTTCAGTTTGTCTGTGACACACAGTGTGAACAGGTTCAGTTTGTCTGTGACACACAGTGTGAACAGGTTCAGTTTGTCTGTGACACACAGTGTGAACAGGTTCAGTTCTGTGACACACAGTGTGAACAGGTTCAGTTCTGTGACACACAGTGTGAACAGGTTCAGCTCTGTGACACACAGTGTGAACAGGTTCAGCTCTGTGACACACAGTGTGAACAGGTTCAGCTCTGTGACACACAGTGTGAACAGGTTCAGTTTGTCTGTGACACACAATGTGAACAGGTTCAGCTCTGTGACACACAGTGTGAACAGGTTCAGCTTATCTGTTGATTAGAGACAAAACAGTGAATAAACCCAGAATCAAGATTTGTCCAGGAAAATGTAAATTTACAGACCAGAGTCTCTGGTGTCATGATTTAATACATGTGTCGGGTCCGTACACACGTGTGTCGGGTCCGTACACTCGCGTCGGGTCCGTACACTCGCGTCGGGTCCATACACACGCGTGGAACCACAAAGATTCACTTTGAAACATTTAGATTCACTTTTGTTTTCAGGTGAAGCTTTAATCAAACACACTCGTCTTCACCGCGACACATACACACTCATCTCACAAGTTGTGTGTATTGTGTTTATAGTGTGTAAGGTTTTATGTGTATTGTGTTTATAGTGTGTAAGGTTTTATGTGTATTGTGTTTATAGTGTGTAAGGTTTTATGTGTATTGTGTTTATAGTGTGTAAGGTTTTATGTGTATTGTGTTTATAGTGTGTAAGGTTTTATGTGTATTGTGTTTATAGTGTGTAAGGTTTTATGTGTATTGTGTTTATAGTGTGTAAGGTTTTATGTGTATTGTGTTTATAGTGTGTAAGGTTTTATGTGTATTGTGTTTATAGTGTGTAAGGTTTTATGTGTATTGTGTTTATAGTGTGTAATGTTTTATGTGTATTGTGTTTATAGTGTGTAGGTTTTATGTGTATTGTATTATGTGTATTTTATGTTTTATTGTGTAAGTGTGTTTAAGGTTTTTATGTGTTATTGTGTTATGTGTGTAAAGGTTTTATGTGTATTGTGTTTATAGTGTGTAAGTTTATTGTATTGTGTTTATAGTGTGTAAGGTTTTATGTGTATTGTGTTTATAGTGTGTAAGGTTTTATGTGTATTGTGTTTATGGTGTAAGTTTTATGTGTATTGTGTTTATAGTGTGTAAGGTTTTATGTGTATTGTGTTTATAGTGTGTAAGGTTTTATGTGTATTGTGTTTATAGTGTGTAAGGTTTTATGTGTATTGTGTTTATAGTGTGTAAGGTTTTATGTGTATTGTGTTTATAGTGTGTAAGGTTTTATGTGTATTGTGTTTATAGTGTGTAAGGTTTTATGTGTATTGTGTTTATAGTGTGTAAGGTTTTATGTGTATTGTGTTTATAGTGTGTAATGTTTTATGTGTATTGTGCTTATAGTGTGTAAGGTTTTATGTGTATTGTGTTTATAGTGTGTAAGGTTTTATGTGTATTGTGTTTATAGTGTGTAAGGTTTTATGTGTATTGTGTTTATAGTGTGTAAGGTTTTATGTGTATTGTGTTTATAGTGTGTAAGGTTTTATGTGTATTGTGTTTATAGTGTGTAAGGTTTTATGTGTATTGTGTTTATAGTGTGTGTTAAGGTGTTAAGTTGTGTATGTGTATGTGTGTTTTTATGTGTTTGTGTTATAGTGTGTGTAAGGTTTTATGTGTATTGTGTTTATAGTGTGTAAGGTTTTATGTGTATTGTGTTTTTCCGTCTTAATCGTATCAAAATCAAGACGCGTTTGGACTCGTGGGAAAAGTGTATCGTCCCCAGTGGACACCCCCACAGAGCGCACCTGTCCTGAACCTGAGCACCTGTCCTGAACCTGAGCACCTGTCCTGAACCTGAGCACCTGTCCTGAACCTGAGCACCTGTCCTGAACCTGCCGTAGATCTGTGTGTCCAGCGGCGTCTGGGGTCCAGAGCTGAGGGCCAGAGCCTGTTCCCTCCACCTGCAAACACACAACACACACACACACAACACACACACAACACACACACAACACACACACACACACACACACACAACACAACACACACACACACAACACATAAGGTAGAAGAAGATGGAGCCACATTAGTCACAAACTGAACTAAACTAATTTTCTGATCATGAAGAAAACAGAAGGAATTTGTTCAGACTCAAATCTCCTGTTACAATTTAAACTGTGCAGATTTACACAGACACACAAAAATTATATATATATAATATATTATATATATATACATATATACATATATATATATATATATATATATATATATATATATATATATATATATATATATATGTATATATGTGGCAGGTGCTGTGGCAGGTGCAGTGGCAGGTGCAGTGTCAGAAGCGTGTGTCAGGTGCTGTGGCAGGTGCAGTGGCAGGTGCAGTGGCAGGTGCAGTGGCAGGAGCGTGTGTCAGGAGCGTGTGTCAGGTGCAGTGCAGTGCAGGTGCAGTGGCAGGTGCAGGTGCAGGTGCAGTGGCAGGAGCGTGTGTCAGGAGCGTGTGTCAGGTGCAGTGGCAGGTGCAGTGGCAGTGCAGTGTCAGGTGCTGTGTCAGGAGCGTGTGTCAGGTGCAGTGTCAGGAGCGTGTGTCAGGAGCGTGTGTCCGGTGCTGTGTCAGGTGCTGTGTCAGGAGCGTGTGTCAGGTGCAGTGTCAGGTGCGTGTGTCAGGAGCGTGTGTCAGGTGCAGTGTCAGGTGCTGTGGCAGGAGCGTGTGTCAGGTGCAGTGTCAGGTGCTGTGTCAGGTGCAGTGTGTCAGGTGCTGTGTCAGGAGTGCAGGTGTGTGTCAGTGCAGTGTCAGGTGCTGTGGCAGGAGCGTGTGTCAGGTGCAGTGTCAGGTGCTGTGGCAGTGTGTGGCAGGTGCTGTGGCAGGTGCTGTGGCAGGTGCTGTCAGGCGTCTCACCAGTGGAAGCTGCAGATGAGCAGGAGCAGGATGAGGGACGTCAGGTCTGTCAGGCTCCACATGAGGCTGAACTCGTCTGGACTCTGAACACAACAGACACATGAGGAGGGGGGGCAGCATGTGTGTCTACGGACAGATGTTCAGCAACAGCAACAGGACTGGAGAGTAAAAGTAAAGGCCGAGTTTATTTAACACAAACATCAGAATTTGAGAAACGCAAAAACACAAAGAAAAACAGACGAAAAATAAATAAATTTGCTTCATTTTTGATGAAGAAAATTTTTACCAAATCTGCATCAGAATCACGACTTTTGAATTCTCATAAGGACAGTAGGACACTGTAGGACACAGTAGGACAGTAGGACAGTAGGACAGTAGGACAGTAGGGGACAGTAGGACAGTAGGACAGTAGGACAGTAGGACAGTGGGACAGTAGGACAGTAGGACAGTAGGGGACAGTAGGACAGTAGGACAGTAGGACAGTAGGACAGTGGGACAGTAGGACAGTAGGACAGTAGGACACTGTAGGACACTGTAGGACAGTAGGACAGTAGGACAGTAGGGGACAGTAGGACACAGTAGGACAGTAGGACAGTGGGACAGTAGGACAGTAGGACAGTGGGACAGTAGGACAGTAGGGGACAGTAGGACGCTGTAGGACAGTAGGACGCTGTAGGACACTGTAGGACAGTAGGACAGTGTAGGACAGTAGGACACTGTAGGACAGTAGGACGCTGTAGGACAGTAGGACGCTTTAGGACAGTAGGACACAGTAGGACGCTGTAGGACAGTAGGACGCTGTAGGACAGTAGGGGACAGTAGGATGTTGTAGGACAGTAGGATGCTGTAGGAAAGTAGGACAGTAGGGGACAGTAGGACGCTGTAGGACAGTAGGACAGTAGGGGACAGTAGGATGCTGTAGGACATTAGGACAGTAGGACGGTGAAGGACAGTAGGGGACAGTAGGGGACAGTAGGACAGTAGAACAGTAGGACAGTAGGACAGTAGGGGACAGTAGGACACTGTAGGACAGTAGGATGCTGTAGGACAGTAGGGGACAGTAGGACAGTAAGACGCTGTAGGACAGTAGGGGACAGTAGGACAGTAGGACACTGTAGGACACTGTAGGACAGTAGGACAGTAGGACAGTAGGACGCTGTAGGACAGTAGGACAGTAGGACACAGTAGGACGCTGTAGGACAGTAGGATGCTGTAGGACAGTAGGGGACAGTAGGACAGTAGGACAGTAGGACACTGTAGGACAGTAGGGGACAGTAGGACAGTAGGACGCTGTAGGACAGTAGGACGCTGTAGGACAGTAGGGGACAGTAGGACAGTAGGACGCTGTAGGACAGTAGGATGCTGTAGGGCAGTAGGACACTGTAGGACAGTAGGACAGTGTAGGACAGTAGGACACTGTAGGACAGTAGGACGCTTTAGGACAGTAGGACACAGTAGGACGCTGTAGGACAGTAGGACGCTGTGGGACAGTAGAACAGTAGGACAGTAGGGGACAGAAGGATGCTGTAGGACAGTAGGACGCTGTAGGACAGTAGGACAGTAGGATGCTGTAGGGCAGTAGGACACTGTAGGACAGTAGGACAGTGTAGGACAGTAGGACACTGTAGGACAGTAGGACGCTTTAGGACAGTAGGACACAGTAGGACGCTGTAGGACAGTAGAACGCTGTGGGACAGTAGAACAGTAGGACAGTAGGGGACAGAAGGATGCTGTAGGACAGTAGGACGCTGTAGGACAGTAGGATGCTGTAGGACAGTAGGACAGTAGGGGACAGTAGGACAGTAGGACAGTAGGATGCTGTAGGACAGTAGGACAGTAGGGGACAGTAGGACGCTGTAGAACAGTAGGACAGTAAGACAGTAGGACGCTGTAGGGCAGTAGGACACTGTAGGACAGTAGGATGCTGTAGGACAGTAGGATGCTGTAGGACAGTAGGACAGTAGGGGACAGTAGGACAGTAGGACAGTAGGATGCTGTAGGACAGTAGGACAGTAGGGGACAGTAGGACGCTGTAGAACAGTAGGACAGTAAGACAGTAGGACGCTGTAGGACAGTAGGACAGTAGGACGCTGTAGGACAGTAGGACACTGTAGGACAGTAGGGGACAGTAGGACAGTAGGACAGTAAGACAGTAGGGGACAGTAGGGGACAGTGGGACAGTAGGACAGTAGGGGACAGTAGGACAGTAGGACGCTGTAGGACAGTAGGGGACAGTAGGTGACAGTAGGGGACAGTAGGACAGTAGGACACAGTAGGACAGTAGGACAGTAGGACAGTAGGACAGTAGGGGACAGTAGGACAGTAGGACACAGTAGGACAGTAGGATGCTGTAGGACAGTAGGACGCTGTAGGACAGTAGGACAGTAGAACAGTAGGACACTGTAGGACAGTAGGACGCTGTAGGACAGTAGGACAGTAGGATGCTGTAGGACAGTAGGACAGTAGGACAGTAGGGGACAGTAGGACAGTAGGACACTGTAGGACAGTAGGACAGTAGGGGACAGTAGGACAGTAGGACGCTGTAGGACAGTAGGACAGTATGGGACAGTAGGACAGTAGGACAGTAGGGGACAGTAGGACAGTAGAATGCTGTAGGACAGTAGGACGCTGTAGGACATTAGGACAGTGTAGGACAGTAGGACACAGTAGGATGCTGTAGGACAGTAGGACGCTGTAGGACAGTAGGGGACAGTAGGACGCTGTAGGACAGTAGGATGCTGTAGGACAGTAGGACAGTAGGACAGTAGGGGACAGTAGGATGCTGTAGGACAGTAGAACGCTGTAGGACAGTAAGAGGCTGTAGGACAGTAGGGGACAGTAGGACGCTGTAGGACAGTAGGACAGTAGGATGCTGTAGAACAGTAGGACAGTAGGGGACAGTAGGACGCTGTAGGACAGTAGGATGCTGTAGGACAGTAGGGGACAGTAGGATGCTGTAGGACAGTAGGACGCTGTAGGACAGTAGGATGCTGTAGGACAGTAGGGGACAGTAGGACGCTGTAGGACAGTAGGACAGTAGGACAGTAGGATGCTGTAGAACAGTAGGACAGTAGGGGACAGTAGGGGACAGTAGGACAGTAGGGGACAGTAGGACAGTAGGGGACAGTAGGGGACAGTAGGACAGTAGGGGACAGTAGGGGACAGTAGGATGCTGTAGGACAGTAGGACGCTGTAGGACAGTAGGGGACAGTAGGACGCTGTAGGACAGTAGGACAGTAGGACAGTAGGACAGTAGGACAGTAGGACGTACCATGAGCAGCAGTGGGCGTGTCATGCTGTTCAGCCTGTGGGGGGCGTTGCTGGTCACAGACTGGACGCCGCTGCACCAGGCCACAGAGTAAAGCCACGGCTCAGACACAACGTACAAGTTCACAGAGACGTTCAGCGCCGCGTGCTCCCTGCAACGGACGCACAACTGTCACCACGGACGCACAACTGTCACCACGGACGCACAACTGTCACCACGGACGCACAACTGTCACCACGGACGCACAACTGTCACCACAGACGCACAACTGTCACCACGGACGCACAACTGTCACCACGGACGCACAACTGTCACCACGGACGCACAACTGTCACCACGGACGCACAACTGTCACCACCGACTGTCACCACAGACGCACAACTGGACGCACAACTGTCACCACCGACGCACAACTGTCACCACGGACGCACAACTGTCACCACCGACGCACAACTGTCACCACCGACGCACAACTGTCACCACGGCCGCACAACTGTCACCACAAACGCACAACTGTCATCATACACAAACACACACACAGACACACAGAGACACACACACACAGACACACACACAGAGACACACACACAGACACACACATTTACACACACACACACAGAGACACACACACAGACACACAGACACACACACAGAGACACACACACACACAGAGACACACACACACACAAAGACACACACACAGAGACACACACAGAGACACA